TTTGTGCGACATCCAACGACTACTTTATCCACTTGCAAGTCAGTTATCCGTAATTCGTCGTACACAACCCTAAAAGAAGAAGCTCTTCTTATCTATCCTGACAACACAGCTGTTCGCACTTTGTGCTAATGTTCTCTCGGTAGACCGTAAGATGCTACTCTGTGTTACTATGGTGTTAAAACCCGTGGGAACTTTGTGGTTTTCTGTTGGGGGTTTGTTGCCTTGGTTACCATCTGATGACGCCCGGATAACTTGGTTTCCACCCTGCTTGATATCAGTGCATTGCTGAATTCGACTATTTCAAAATCCATTTGAGAAACTCAGCAACACCGATCACTCGACTGTTGAGATCTACTCGGGTACTGTACATCGGAAGGGGGTGCATTAACTCACAGAGATTGTTCGTCTCATTGAAAAGACAAACGGTCTTTCGCAAAGCATTCTCCCCTGTGGCCTCCCTATGTCACTTCTGTCTGGGAGAAGTAGCAGTTTATATCAGGTGCTTAATAGGCGGTGAAATGAGGAGAGCACACAGATCGATGTACCGTTTCACGTCATGAGAGCGCCATTTTACTCTGCATATTCGTTTGACTACTTGTAAGTAGTATGCGTGCACTTTACGACAGGTGAAAAATGTGCAGCATGATCATCGAATCACTTTGTTACACGATGCCCACTTGAATCGGAACCACGACAGCAACGTGCATCTACATAGTAGATTCATGACAACTAGCATGCATTCCTTCAATTTGAAATAACTTGCTTACTTATCTCCACTTCTCCCAGCATTCAGGACCCAAACGATGAAGCTACCTAGTTGGTCACTTCCACCATTCAGCTGGCCCATAACCCGTGTAAAAAGTAGGGCATGGTATTTAGTCAGTTCGGTTATGGCTTTCAACCAGTGAGTAAGCCAAAGTTATTCTCACTCGTCTTCAGAAACGCCTTCAATAGTCTCTAGTCAGCTGATATATGCCCATTATTCCAGCGTGTTGACTTACCAGTCACTGAATCGGTCGACGCTGCGCTTCACTGTCGCGATAATGTCCTTCACTACGGTTGTTTCGACCTAACGGGACTTACTGGGCTACTCTGTAGGACGTCCAGAGCCCGCATTTTTGAAGCTGAATGCAGGTATGGACGTCACCCCAACAAAGCCAGACAATCTGCTCTGATTAGATTAACAAAACAGACGCTCACATCGGACAAAGTCGTGCGAACGGTGACGGATGGCGACGGATGGATCTAGAAATATGCCATAGCGCGTAGGGCAGCTGCGATTGATGAATCAATGGTCAATGAAGTCAGGTCAAAGAGCTCTCGCGACTGATCGATATCATATCAGAGATTCCCCCGCCTCCAAAGGAGCCACTTTGACAGGGTCCTGATAAATTACCACTGGATTGGACAGATAAGGCCCCACACCTAAAAAGCAGCACAGTTTTCAGAAATCGAAAAATGCGAACAGTTTTTGGTACGATATGGTTAGCTGTCGTGAGTCAGGATTTCCGAAAGCTAAAATAGCCCGGCAGAATAAGCGGGAGAGTGTACAGGGGTGTTTACCTTCTTCACTTCTGTTCAACTTCGTCCAGATGGCATGATAAGGTCATGCCACCACTGCTGAGAATCTCGTGGATCTGGACCCACTCACTATTGGATACGAATGCACACTGTTGTACGTCTTGCACCTACGAAGTGTAAAGTAATGATTCGAAACGTTCAGTCTCTGAAAATGCCCCTTTCAATTTGAGGACAACAATTAGAGACTGTACGGAATCTTACACACCTCGGCAGGTATATTGGCAGTGCGTCCGATGGAGTCGGTGCACGAACCTCAGAGAATCGAATCATGTTTGGCAACTTACGTCGGTTTTAGAGTCGAAGATACAACCCACTGTGTTCATAATGCCGCGTGTACCAGGCTACTGTACGGACTGTGCTGTCATGTGGTTCCGGGACATACACAGATGATGTGAGGCGTCTTTGAGTGAGCGTATATAATTTTTTTCATTTGAGTCGATTTGTCAGATCATTGGCACTGATCCTACGAATAGTCAGTTATCGAGATAGCTCGTCTTATTTGAACCTTGCCTTCATATCTTTCCTCACTACGTCTAATAAGAATATTTACATAAAATTGTACAAAGCATTTGACGAGTAAATTAATGGTTGGACGGGTTTGATACCCCAATGTTTTTCCAAATCTGAGATATCAACAAAAGAATCCATATCAGATGGTCTCTTGTTCACTGGTTCTTTGTGACCATGACAGTCGACCAGTTATCCTTTGACGTCAAAATATACTTGAAACCATCCAAGAGCCTCATGCGGGTACAAGCGCATCCGCTATGCTTTACTCCAAGCTCCTTGGAGCCAGGCCGGTCTCCAGACAACCAAGCGGGTAAGGTCAAAGGAACCAAGCAGATTTTCCCAAGAGAACCGTACTGTTTGATCTCTTGAGGATCGGACTTTTAAGTCAGTGGCTCAAGACACCCTTTCTCCGTCCCGGAGGCCGGGAAGTATCATTCAGCATTCGTTCACCTCACGCAGCAAGTGATGCCTTGGGGTCAATCCGATTGTCAGGCACCTAATGATTGTTCTGTGTCTACACCACTGTTCAACAAATGAGACAAAATAACCCCTTATTAAACTATAGTGAACTGATCGCGTTTCAGCCTCCAGCGTCCCCACTCTGTGTCAATTCGAGTAACAGACATCTCTTGCTTGCCCTTTCTGTTGATGTACCTTGTGTCGCCGAGACAGGCATATAAGACCCCCCGTCGATCAGGCATCTCAAGCCGCTTACATGATCCGTCTTCCACTATTCAGGTATCCGGAACAACCAGTTCGATTGACATCAATGAGGTAAGCGGTGTTGATCTACCGTGTCAACATACACCCCGAAAGACCGCAGTTCTGAAGCCACAAACGATGCATTCTACCGAGATCTGTCATGATTATCTTCGTCAGCAAGAACAAATATGGTCATTCTGATGGGTGAAACGAACGCCCAAGTTTGAGGAATAAGCACGAAAGAAGCACAATTAGGTAGTAGATTCAGAGTCGATTACCGGTATATGAGTAATGGGGAGCAACTCGCTTAGTTGTGTGCTCAAAAGCCCCTGTTAACGTCTAAAACGAACTTTCAGAAGAAGCGCTCATACCGACTTATTTGGAGGCCATGGACTACAAGCCAGTCAGTTGGATCACATGGCTATCAATTCCCGACTAAAGACTTCCGTTCTTCCTGGGGATACGTAACTTCACCTCGATCGTGTCAGTTCGCTTTCATCACGATTACGCGTACTGGAGCAGAGCGATTCCGTTCATCAACTCCGACGAGTTGCAAGGGCTCGACGATGTTGAGCTGAACTGACTGTGAAGCTACTGGAAATGCATAATCACTCTGATGACAAAGACTGGTTAGAGTTGATTGGAAGAGAGTAAAAGAAGCTATACTCTCAGCTTTGGAACTGTTCGTCCAAGCCGAAGTGAATGCTGAATAGCTTCGAGATAAGCAGATCTTATTGCCACCAAAAGAAGCATGCCAGTAACTACGATAGCGCACCCACACCCCTCTCAAAAGCTAGATAAACAAAAGCCTGAGGGAAGAAAGAGGACACTGGTTGATTAAGAAGCCCCTGGGGCTGGACACTACTTTTGCCGCAGGCATCGACCATCCCTTGTTTCAGCCGATTTGGTCAGCAGTTCAAAAGACGGAGGATGTCGACGAACCATTCTGTAAAGAAGATGCAACGGTGAGTCATTCACAGGGTCGTGGTCTTGAGCGATGGGTTGTGCACTTTAAAGAACAGTTCGGCTGATCTGGAAGAGTACAAAGAGCCTGAATGGAAAATCAATACCAGCCCGGGGGGAGCAACACAACTTCAGTGCGAAATATCATTCTTTCAACACAACGACCAACCAGGCCCGAATAGTTAGCATGTTACCCTTTTCAGAGGGTTTGAAGCCCCTGTGAGTAGTCTGATGACTGTATACGAAACAAAAATACATTATCGGTTGAATGAAGCGACTCGTTCCAATCTTCACCGAGTGCAATAAAGTCTTCCAAAAGTGATTGTGGTATCAGCCTGGTGACGTGTTATCCAAGGTGCTCTCTACCATTATTTTCCGCAGTTTGGTTGCTTATTTTGAGAATCAAGCGGGGATTCGCCCTGGTCGAGGATGCATTATCCATATCTTTACAGTGAAACGTAATTTTGAGCAGCATCAATCTTCCACACTCCGAACGTCGTTCATTAAACTTGATCGGATCGCCGTTTTTGACAAGATCGATGATCAGAATTTTTGGCTGTCTCTGGCGATCAAAGGTGCGTCTCTTATGCGGATATTGTTCACGAAATACCACTGGTGCAGTGGAGAATACAGCAAGCTCTTACTTGAGTCCACAACCACCAATGGTGTAATACAAGACTACCCTCTCCTACCACTCACTGCATCTGCCACTTGAAACTCCTCCGGCTGACTCGGAATGATCGGGGATCGAAATGCTCCCGGGGCGGTTGCTCACAGATCCCTCAAGGGTGCAAGTCATTTTAAATAACGTGAATAATCCTCCCACAAAATGTAAAGTAGTGCTACGAAGCTCAGACCAGTCAATAAAATTGGCAGATAACTTTGCTTACCCGGGCAGTTGTATCCATTCCAGTGGACTGACGGGTGACGAGACCATCTTTGGATTCGGGAAGGCCAGGAGAGCATTTAGTAGACTTCGAAACCTGTGGGATCGGCGTGACGTCAGTTTGTTTGTCAAGGAAAGTAGTGGTGCGGACCACATTGCTTTGCGGATCGGAGTCGTGGTCTCAACATTCATTCGGGATCTATAAGTTAGGACCATCGGTGTCTCCGAAGCTTTGACCGGGTCTTTGGGATACATCGAATTAACAATCCTGAGGCACGCCAGATGGTTTTAGAGGAAACGAACTTCCCAACCATGGATGACTTACTCGTGTTTCATAGACTAATCTGTACCGCACATATCAAGGGGCCATCTGCCTCGCAGCGATTTTTTCACCCAGCCCTATGCTGAGCGGAAGCGACCGAGGGGTGGAGAGTTTGCCAACTGACAACGAAAACAATAACGGTAAACTCAGTCTGGTGAACAACTGCCGCTTCCATGAAGAGGACCTTGGGACTTAGCACATCGATGGTTAATGAAAGTAACAGACAGTGGAGCTCGTGCCCCGAAGCTATCACCTTCAATGCGTAGATGTCCAGTTCCCCGTTACCTCGGATAAAATACAAACAGACTGATCTTGCCACTGCTTTCAACGCTTGGCTATTGGCAATCGTTCTCCCGTTTTTCTATAACCGAAATCGTGGAAACTGTACCTGACATACTATTAATATATGGCTTTTAGCGGATAAACTGAAGTGAACCGAACATATTTAGCTGGAGCTGGTTGTTTACTGGTGACCCAGAGGCTATTGGCAACAGGTCGTTCCCCCCTATCCTGGCGCAAATGAAACCGTTAATTGTGCAACCGTGAAAATATATGGGCCTAATAGGAAAGTGTTCCATCATACGACAAACACCAAGTCGTCTTGGGGGCTCATGAAGTTACAACTTGTCACCAATCATCTCTTCGGAATCGACCTTTTAACTATCCGCGTTAAAGCTCAGTGTAGTTTACGTTTTCATCTCAATCAATATTTAAAATGTGTGAACTCTATCGCTAGAACACTACATGCCAGCTCTGGTCACCAACGCACACTGATCGCCGATTAGCATTTTCGTTCGTTTTCCCACACGGCAAAAAGGTTCGGAATTTCAACGAACTCGACTAGAATTGATCAGAATTTCGTATGCGCCCGTCTACACAGTGATCGATTTACGTGCTCTGCTTCATGCGTGTGTGCGCGCGCACGCACGCACGCACGGACGCATGCGTACGTGTTCACATTCACATTCTGATTAATCGATATTACGGCACCGAATGCAACCGGTGTGGTATGGTAGCATACAAGAATGCGCATTCTCTCGGAGTCATGTATCATGTATCTGGTTCCCTCCCCTGTTGTTGCTGAGAGCATTGACGGAAGGCGGTGTTAGCCACATTGCAGATAGCATACACAAGACAAGTGTACCAAACGTTTGTGGATTATAAATTGATGAAAGCATAGGAATTCTTCTTGTCATCAACCGCAATACTTGTAGATGAGTCATGATCCTGGTGGAATAACTTCGAAGTGAAGTGCAGCGCAACGGAACAGAATGAACAGATAGATTGATGGAGTGAGTGAGTGAGAGTGAGTGAAGAGGACTGCGAATTGGAGGAAATCAACAAGTTGAATGACGGTAGAAGAGGACCATTCTGTACAACATCGAACGCTATTGCCCGTCCAGATACGCATCACATAATTGACGAATGAGTGAACACATAAATCGATATAAGACGTTCAAAAGTTGAAATTCTAACGTAAAGGCACACGGTACACGAATGGTTGCCATTTTGAACTGAACAAGCCAACTCTAGAGCGCTTTTATTTCTGAGATGAACTGAGGATGAGATTTTGGCTGTTTTCGTCCAAACGCTTCTCAGAAAATGCGATCTTTCAGAAGGCAAGGAATGACGTGTTTCCGGCTTGGTTATCGTAATTTAGGATACTCAAAATGCGAGTTTGGATCTGCCGGCTACCCCGTTGCCATTCCTGATGATGCGTACTGAGCGTACCAGTATAATTTTTTTGCACAAAAAGGTTAACGGCGGTTAGTCTGCGTTTTCAGTCAGCTGTTACGTGGATAGTAATCTAGTTAAATAACCCGGGTTCTTTGACGATAAAGTCACAAGAAATGAGATGTTCCTGTTTCCTGAAGGTGAACGTCTACTTCAGTTTAGAGCTGTCAACGACTGTTATTATCAGAAGTCAATCAACTTTTAACTTGCCGTTTCTAAGTCATATGGATGAGTTCACAGTTCTCAAACGCCGATAATCTAGGCTAGACTTACCTGGTTTTGAGTGACTTCTGTTGGTATACTTGGTGACGAGCGAATGTTTAACTCTGTCATTGGTGGCCGAATACAATGACGTGGCAGCTGATCGCCTAACCAAAGTCGGCTTTCCAGGAGATGGAATTTATTTCATGTTAGACAGCTCAACGGAGTGTGGAACGGTAAATGACCAGAAAAAGAGACTTTGCTCTATGATCGAGGAACTTTTCAGTATCCTCGGTGGTCACTATGATAGAATTAAATCAAGGGACACAAACACATTTACTTCCCATGAACTCAGCTTGGTGAATGCAGGGCAGTTTACGTTTCAGGCGAACTTGTTGTCGACATTAACGAAAAAATTAATTCCTAGTTACTGTCGTGCGGCGGTATGGAGTTGATCCTCTGTCTTGATCATTTCCTCTAGGCCTCGGCTCCAAGCAGTGTGTTAGCTAGATCATAAATCATATATTCTGAGAGGCATTGCTAAGATTTTATGAAGCCTTGTGACTGTATGTTGGAAAGTTGGATCCCCAGCACCTTCGTGGGATAGTATCGAAGACCGAGAGCCCAATGTTTGTTAACTTGCACGGACAGTGGTCGCTTCGTTACCCTCAAGTGGTGCCCTTTCTGGCTCGGTGACCCGTGAGTTTCAAAGCTAGTGGGGATAATTGTAAAGCATGGAAACTAATAGTCGATCAACTCCTTTACTTTCGAGCTTTCTTCCCTCTCAGCAAATTTAAGACATTCAAGTTCCAAGTCTGCGTGTCAATTATGGCAGATTATTGTTTGGCGTGATACGTAGTGATATGCGGAGAGTTCAATATGCTCTTTGATAGGGTGTGAAACGCTGTTAAGGCTCTCATACAGGAAACTACTTACAAGGTTGCTGAAAACTCTTCGACCGGTTTCGCCCTTCTTGAGGCTCATCAGGTAGGCACAGTCCGAGTTTCCTTTTACGGTTCTGTCACGCAGCGAGCAAACAATATGATAATGCGGATTGTGGCAATACTCTATCCCCGGCTATGTTGCTTGATCCAGACTCCTAGCACGGCGAATAGTAAGAAGACGAAACCCTCGGACACAAACTTTAATAATCCAACAACACACGATCAACAGGCGATGCCCGGAGCCTCCGAAATCAAGTCAGTGGAAAGAAATGGTATCCTGTACGTGGTCGGATTTAAATTTCCTTGGAGTATCAATAGGCCATTGATTTTTCATAGTTTGACGTTGAAGATGCCGGGAGTTCGCTAGCACACATAAAAACAGCGTTTTCTGGGGGATATTGATATCCCCAGCATTTCCGTCAACCTTATGTTCTAGCTGAACCCAAATCGCACGAAATTGGCGCAATACACTTATTTGCAAATCACTTTGGTTTTCATGAATCTCTCGTTTATAATGTTCTTCAACTGAAGGCCGCCTCGTGTTTCACTTGGTAAGCTATTCGAGATATCGCAGTATATTTTCATAGAGGAAACTACTTGTAAGTTTGCTGAAAACTCTGGTTATTTAGTTGTCTCATGGTTTCAGTACTGACGCACTGACTGTAGTAGTCAGTCAGTAAGGCCAAAGGTTTCAAAGTTTTATTGCATTAGAGGGGAAAACTTTGAGCTGATATCGGCGGAATAATTAGTTTTGTGCCATTGTTTCTAGTAATCGATGGTGACGGTGTTCGAAAAGCTTTTCGTTGAGTACGCTTATTCAGCCCTGACATAAAGAGTTCTCGCGTTCGTTCCAAATACCTTCAGGCCAAAAAATAACAGATACACTGTAAAGCTGAGAGAAAAGGCATAATTTCTTTGTTGCCTGGAGGTGCTATGTGTCTCATAAGAGGAAACTGCCGTTTAAGGGCGATATTCTCATAAATGAACGCTGAAGTTGACGAATGGGTGTTCAGTCATTTCCACAGGGAGAACCAGGATGCCTTTTCCACGTTGATATTTTTTAAAGTTTTTTTTCGAAAATAATACGTCTGTTGGTGTGTTCTGTGTAGTTGAACTAAATGGCTTGCTCCCACCAACTTTGGTGAGAGCAATAGTCTTCTTCTTC